ATTAAACACATGCAAAAAATATCTAGAGTTCTGTCCTGCATTCTGTAAATTTCAAAATCCCAGATTTTTTTGTTGTTGAATGTCTTTCCTCTTGAAATAAGTTAAAAAAGTTACATGGTCTGAGTTTGCTTAAAAGGTGGTTGGTGGGGTTTTTTTTTGAGGGGTGGGGCAAGCTCCAGTATCCTATATTCCTATTGCATGGGGATTTCCCAAGTTTGCTTTGGATTAGGAAGGTGACCTTAATGCTTGTTGGATCCACTAGTAGAGTGAGAACAGTATTTTAGGTTATGTGTTAAAAGGCTCATCACCAGGACCATACAGAGATACAGTGGGGTGCAGGGACCCCATTAATGTCATCAGAGGAAGTAACCCCCAGTTCTGTCACTGGAGAGCCATCAGCCCCATTGCCTGGGCGTGACAGGCATTGAGATAAGTCAACAGAAAGGCTCTTTGGAACAGCTTACAAGATGGAGGGAGGTAACTGTCTACAGAATATGGGACATATTATGGGAGGCAGGAGAAAAGCATCTTGTGATTGTAGAAAACCTGTTATTGGATGCTCAGGGGAGGGACCAAAGAGAGGGAACAGGGTGCTTTGGGGAGGAGCGAGTATGTGAGAGTAGAAGGATAAGGGGATAAAAGGGCCTAGTCAATTGTGAACAAATGGCTGGTTAGTATGTTTGGCCGTGCCCTGTGCCAGATTACCACAGCCTGTCCACTTTTCTCATTAAGCTCCATTTCTAACTGTTCTCCTGGATGAGGGGACTCTGTGCTATATTCGTCTGTGCTTACTGAGGTCTAAGTGCCAGCAACTGGAGTGGTACCCTAAGTTATAGGGACCTCTGTGCCTGGTGTGCCAGCAACTGGTGAAACTGGAGTGACTGAGGGTCTAAATGCCAGCAACCGGAGTGGAGACCATGAGTCACAGAGGCTTGAGTGTCTGCAGTGCCAGTAACTGGGGAGGCCAGAGTGCATGTGTATTGTTTTGGCAAGTATGCCAGTGTGTGGTTGCTAGTGGTATCATGCAGGGTTGCCAGTGAGTAGGACAATAGGCTTTGGAGCCAGGTTTTGAGGCAGCTGCAAGTGTGGGACAGGTACTAGTGAGATCAGAGGGTCTTCAGCTTGGCAATATGAGAGTCCAGGAGGTCCAAGCCAGCAACTGGAGGGACTGTAAGATCTGTGAGTCATTTTGGAGGCTCATTTGCATGTATGTCTCTGAGCGAGGCAACTGGAAGCAAAAGGATCCAAGGGCCAGTTACTGAGTAGACTGATTGTCTAAGGCCATTTACTGGAGGATCATGGTATGCCTATGGGGAGCTGCATATGTGTATATATCTGGGTGAGGAGGTATGCACCAGCAACGAATGGGGCTCTGGGGAGGCTGAGGATTCACAGTTGGTTCCTGGATAAGACTGAGTGTCTGTGGCCAGTTACTGGAGGGATCCACATTGTGTGTGTATGTGTATATTGCCCACTAATGGATTTTTGTCCTAGTCAGCTAGGGAGAGGAGCAGCATAAGTCCAGACCCTGTTTGTGTTTGCGTGAACACTGTTTTTAGACGTGTTGATCTGTATGGTCAGCGATGTGTACATGCATGTTTGTGTGTGCAACTGTGGGAATATATCCATAGCCTTGTCACTGTGGGGACGTGGAATTGCAGTGGTCTTGCCTCCATTGGACTGGCAGGTTGAGCAGCCCCTAACACAGGAAAATTACTTTTTCTGGAAGTTTGAAGGTGCAGAAATTGTTGACTCTCAAAACTTAAATTTGAAAGCAAATCTACAATGGCTGTTAAGTTGTGATACAGTTTTAAAACATTTATTGGTCTGGTTGATGTGAATAGGGCTATCTACATGAATATCTAAACAGATATATTTGTTTAAGGAGCCATGATAGAGCAGTGGACCATAATTTAAATTTAAACCTAGGCTTTTGTTGTAGGTGTTTTTTAAAATAGTGTATTTTTTTAGCTCAAGAGAATTAAAAATAGAAATAAAAATGGATATCTTTTAGTGAGCTGGTAGGTTTTGCACTTACCTTTTCCCTCTCTGTATGTCATATATTATGGCATCACAGAATGGTTTGGGTTGGAAAGGACCTTTAGGTCCTTAGAAAGGATCTAGTCCAACCCACTGCCATGAGCAGGGACATCTTTCATTAGGTGAGGTTGCTCAAAGCCCCATCCAACTTGACCTTGAACACACAAATGTTTTGTGTGTCTTGCCCATGAATAAATCCCTGTATAGAAAAAAATGTCAACAAAGAGTCTGAGTGGGGATGCTTATCGTAATAAGAACTGACCTTCCTTTTTGACATTTGCTTGTTCTAGTCTAATGCTATAGCATTCATTTATTTTTGCTGGCAAGTTAAAACGCTCTACTTATGTCAAATATCAATATAATGTAAAAAATGAAGATTTCTGTCCTGTTTACTGGTGGAGTTAATAAACATGGATACACACACGTATATAGTGGTCCAATCTGTTGATATAAAATTGATAGAACAATGAACAGATTATTTTAGATTGAAAACTGTAACTAGAGCCATTTCATATCAAATATGAAGTACAGCTTCAGCATCTGTCCCTACCTGCTCCCAGAAATCCTCTTTGCTGTGGAATACTGCCAAATCAACTTCTTTCCAAATGTGATGAATGCACTTTTTTTCTCTTTAATATTTCCAATGCACTTAAAGTTTTTTTTTTTTCTAAAGAATCTAATTGAACATGATTCCATAGTTTAATAAGCCGCAATTATTTTCAAGTGATTTTCTTTTTTTCTGTCCAACCAAGTGTAATTTTAACAGCTGTTGGAGCAGATAACTGAAATTGTATGGCAAAGAGACACCTAATATTGAAAAGTGGAACAATGGAGACTTTTTCTTCTAGAAAGTGCTGTAGCTATACTGTGCGCATGCATGGATTTTTATTTTTTCCCCTTTTGATATGCTGAAGGAAGGCATTGTTTTATTCTGGCCCTCTCCGTTTGCATATTGCAAATTTTGAGGGGACTTTGTGGTGATAGATGGGAAAGTGAAAACAAAAAAATAATAATTTTAGTATAGTGGGTACTTTTCAGTGTCATAGGCTGCTTGTGCATATAGGCTTTTCCTTAATAATTTTTTTTTTGAAGGCACCTCATCTAAGCCCTCATGTTTTCTTCCCAAGTTAGTGGCTTACAAGACAATAGAAATAAAGCTGGAAACCAAATCATTTTTCCAAGGCCTGCGTCACAAATGATAATACAGTCAATTTTATACTTAAGATGTGGTATCTAAAGGCAATCGTTAAGTCTCCACAAAGATGTAGTACTGAATTGAGGGAAGACAACATATGGTTAAAAAATTATATAATGTGCTTTTTCATATTAAAGAACTACAGGTCCTTATCAACGACAGTTATGTGAAATTGATATAATCCTTAAGTTTCTTGATTTTTGTTTTGTGCTTCAAGTTGCGTTTCCAGTTTTCTTTCCTTTTTCTAGCAGTGTGGAAAGAAAAGCATATCCCATGTTAGAGCTGCTTTGCTCTCGAATGATCTAGATCTGCATGTGTGCAGTAAATCTGATGATTTCTGAAAGTGCCAGCCTAACAATATGCACACCTGCTTTCTCTCCTCTCTGCTTTCTGTTCAGGAGAGCGCTTAGACAGACAGAAAGCTAGTATTTGGAGTGCATGTTGCTGCAAAATGATTCATGCCGCTTGCTTGGGGACAGTTTTTCCAATAGACTCTGCACAGCCAATGAGAGAAGTGGGTGCAGGCTAAATGAGTTGTTTTGATGGCTGCAGCTCCTTTCTGATCGATGGTTTTCATTGATGCTCTGTACATTCCATAATTTTCTTTTTTTTTTGGCTCCCTAACTAACTAAATTGGGTTCTGCCCAGTGACTTTAAGAATGATCCTGATGGAGGGAACATCATCAACTTGTTTGTAAGGCTCTGGCTTAAATCCAGTATGTATTTAACAGTCAATGTTTTTGTAGTTTAGTCATGAATTATTAGAAAATATCTCAACCCTTTGCAACAATGAAAAGGCCTCAAGCCTCAACAGCCTGAAATTGGCTTGCAAGTGTTTAATATATAAAAATTCACGCTTGTTTCAGATTTATAAAGCTCACTTTATGCAGGCGTAAATACTAGTTTTGTTTGATTTTACAAAAATGTTTAGCCAAGTCCTTTAGTTTTTGAGGAGCAAGGGTGTGGCTGAAGTTAAGCGTTATTTTATTACTGAAACACAAGTTTTTTGATGTGTAGAAGAGGCCTTGAGGCTAATGCATTTTCTTCTTCCAAATGCCTTTTAAAATTGAGTGTTTCTGTATGAAAATTCAGATGTTGTCTTACTCTTTCTTCGGAAAGTCTATCCTCAGTACTTCTTAAAAGTGGAAGGAAAGCTGCCCTACTTTGAGAGTAGATTTGCTTTTATATCTCTTCAAAATCTGCTTGTGTTTGACATCTGTTAAAGAATTCCTGTAATATACTTACTCCTGGAGTTTAAGTACATCTCATGACCATATTGTATCTTGATCTGTAGATTGCCTTTGATCAACATCTTTTAGCTCTGTAAAAGACTTAGGTATTACATTTTAAAGCATAGATTTCTTGGGATAAAGAGAACAGAGTGAAGATATATTACAATTTTATGATTAAGATATTGCACTTTAAATGTATACATTCTTGTATAAATATTGTATAAATACAATTAATGTTTTTTGAATGTACATTCAATATTGTCAGTTATGATTGTCAGTTATACTTTAAGCTAAAGAATATATGATAGGCCTTTTGCACTAAATTTATCAGTGGTTGTACAATTTTATATGAATATTTGCATTGCCATTGTACTTAAACTTCCATGCAAGCCCAGGGGAGCTGAATCTGAGCTATAACTGAGATCTCTACTTCCAGAGATTTAGTCCTTGATTTCTTGCTATAGTTTTAGATTTGATTTCTGCGTTAAGTGGTTTTAAGCTTAATGTATTTTTCATTTCTTTTTGACAGTGTATTACCTTCAGGAGATGGCCTCTTCTAAGTCTTTGATGAACCTTCTAACCTTCACTTTTGGATCAGCAATAGGATTTTTTGTATGCTACCTTCTGTTTAGCATCATACTAGAAGAACAGGTTAAGATCCAGCCTCATATCCTTCACAATGATCCACATGGTCAACACTCAGCAGATATGGATAACAATCAGCTGCAAGGACAAATGAATTTCAATGCAGACTCTGGGCAGCATAAAGGTATTTTGTTACACCTGACTAATTATATAATATGCTCCCTTTTCATGCACTACGAAATGATGCTTTCTTCACTGCCAAGAATTTGTATGAATCCTTTTCTTTCACTTTCCCTGTGTTCAGGTTACATCTAAATAACTTTTCTCCTGAAGTCTACTGAATGGTAGTTTTCTTTGTTTACAATTTTATTACAGTAGTGATTTTTTTTATTCAGAGCCCCAATGTTTGTCCAGCTTCTGTATCCAGACTTGTTTAGAGTAGGAGCTTCTCAAATTAAGTATTCACATCCAGTGGTGAGCAGATAAGCAGATATATTTGCTAGCACAGTAGATGTGTCTGAATTGCTTTTTAGCTTCAACAAGCTAATTTTGGACCACTTCTAACTTGATCTAGCTTCTCAGGTAAAGCTAAAAAAAATTTCACTTTTTGACACAATTAGTAAAACTTGGAATTGGGATGGGGTGAGGGGAGAGGGGGACACTCTGGGCATTGTTTGCCAAGCTGATCATGTAGCAGTTTAAAACATAGATTGCTGTTGGCAGTCAAAATAAAAGAAATTCTGTTGCACTCTTTTTTTTTATTTTATTTTTTTTATTTTTCCAAAGAAAGGAGGCCCTTCTAATATTTCAGGCATACTTTTACATTTGATGCATCTCATTAAATGAGTTCATTCTAACTCCTGAATACAGATACTGCCCAAGTTGAGGCAGTTTGGGTAAGAAAAATTGCACTATGATGCATTTGCTGAAGGAGATGTTAATAAGTAATTTGCTATTTGAATGTATTTAAACTGCAAACTTTGTAAGACAAATTTTTGAGTGTTCACATGTAATTGCAGAACATTACAAAGAAATCTGATCTGTTGTTGCATAAAGTGTAAGCAGGAATATTTTAGGACCAGTTATGCAGATCTCATTCTCCATGGAATTTTCTTTTACGTGGGTTAAAAATGCTCTCTATGTAACGAGTGAAAATGTTTCTTTGAGGGGAAATGAATGCTTTGGCAGCTTGGAAAACATTATATCATACACCTCAGATAACTGTGTCTATTTATTCTGTTGGATTGTTTGCAAATAAAAACATTTTAACATAACAATAATACTAGTTTCATAGGATCCTAACTCATTTAATCTGATTTTTTACAAAGAAGATTTAACTTGATTTGGTGATAAATTCTTTCTTTCTGTCTTACCATTTGCTTTTTCCTTCAAAAATATGTTGCTGTTTTAGAAATATTTATTAGGTTTTGTTAGTTAACATGAATATCTATATAACAGCGTATTAGCTTTTTGACCTTTCTGTGTTATAATCATTAGGTTGTTTTGATTGTGAATGGCAAAAATATTCAGCTTTTTAATTTTCATTAGTCCTCCAACACCATAAAGAGGTTGCCTCTGAAGAGTTTTTACCTACAAATCAACATTTTCTAAAGCCACACTTCCCTGAACAGATAACTATTTTGATACAGCTCTTATGCTGTCCTTTTTCCTGTGAAGTTGAAGTAGCTTTAAGAATTTTGGTTTCTTGGTTTTGGGAGTCTTGGGTTTTTTCTTCCTAAATCTAACGTTAATTTCATTAACTGGTACATTTGGAAGCAAATGCCTCTTTTCTCTCTGCATGTCTTTTCTGATCTAGAAACAGAATGTCTAGGGGGAGATTCCTCTTATGTTTGTTTTGCAATCAAGTCTAATTTTTTTTGGAACTTTTCTCTTTTTTTAGATGAGAATAAAAATATTGCAGAGGGACTGTATCAGAAGGTGAAAATACTGTGTTGGGTCATGACTGGACCTCAAAATCTAGAAAAGAAAGCCAAGCATGTTAAGGCCACTTGGGCCCAACGTTGTAATAAAATCCTTTTTATGAGCTCTGAGGAAAATAAAGACTTCCCAACTGTGGGCCTAGAAACCAAAGAAGGCAGGGACCAACTGTACTGGAAGACTATTAAAGCTTTTCAATATGTACATGACCATTATTTTGATGATGCTGATTGGTTTATGAAAGCAGATGATGATACCTATGTTATATTGGACAATTTGAGATGGCTTCTTTCAAAATACAGTCCTGAACAACCAATATACTTTGGGAGAAGGTTTAAGCCTTACGTGAAACAGGGCTACATGAGTGGAGGAGCAGGCTATGTTCTAAGCAAAGAAGCTCTGAAGAGATTTGTTGCTGCATTTAAAACGAACAAATGTTCTCACAGTTCCTCTATTGAAGACCTAGCACTAGGAAAATGCATGGAGATCATTAATGTGGAAGCAGGAGATTCTAGGGATACGAGTGGTAGAGAAACCTTTCATCCCTTCGTTCCAGAACATCACTTAATCAGAGGATACCTACCAAAAACATTCTGGTACTGGAATTACAATTATTATCCTGCTGTAGAGGTAAGTCTTTAGGAACCTCCTATGCATTTTATGAAGTACATCTTACAATGTGTATGAATGTGTATGATGTGGGAATTAGTAGTTTCATAACAGCTCAATATATTTTAGAAAAGAAGGTTTTGTTGTGATCCTGTGATACAGCTGTGTGTAGATGTATTAAATACACTAGTCATCAACTAGAAGTTGATGCTAAGAACTTAACACTGCTGAAGAGAATTTTCAATTATTATTGCTGATTTGCTATGTTCTGTGGACAGCAAAAAATGATGAAACCTTTGTGACGCATTTATCTATTGTCACCACTACTGCCTTCCTTGCAAACTTATTGTTCTGTTTTGTTCCCTGATATCTCGCACACAGTGCCCCTAGCTTCTCCTCCAGCCACCCAACTCCCAGTGTGCAGTGAGAAGCGAGACCAGTGTTGTTCATTCCAAGCTGTGCTGACTGTATGTGCTGACTGTACGGAGTGGGCTCAGACAGTTTGGCTTAGTTACATTAAAGCCTGCTGAAAGGGAAGGTGGGACTGATACACCTTTATCTTCTACCCAACAGCAGACTATACATAAAACCTGTAGAAACTGAAGTGATTTTGAGACTTGCTCGTGATTTTGTAGTTGGTTAACGTTGGCTAAGAGATTCCCAAGTTACTGGAGGGGCTGCTGGGTAATCGTATGTGTGACTGTACTGCATGGTAGTCTTTTTCCCTTCAAATGGAGATGTGCTGCAATATACTTCTCTTATCACTGATAACTGTGCAGTGTGACCTGGCTTGAAAGCTGGTAGGTGCCCTGCCCTCATTTTTTTATTGTAGGTTATTAAAATGTACATGTAAATATACTCTGTTGAAAAGATTATAGAAGAATGAACGTTGCCTAGAAGTGAAATAAAAGCATGACCCAAACAAAGAAATATGATTAGAATTTCTTTTGTAGTTGTATTGGACTCTTGTCTACCTTCTGTAGAAGTGGAGGCAAGCATGAGAGTTGGCAAAGCTAATTTTTTTAAAAAATATTTTGTTGTAGCAACAAAAATAGCATTTACAAGCTGAAGCATTCTTACTGCAAGAACTTCAGATTGGGGGGGGAGAAAAAAAAAGAGGGGGGAGGGAGCAGGATGCTCCTTGAAATTGAAACAATCTGAAGGTGTTCTGCATTGTGTACTTCAACGATCATATGATCTGTGATGTGGCTTCTTTTTTAGGATTATAATCTCACTTTTAAAAGTATCAAGCAAGCTTTGATATCAGCATAAGTGGCTGATATCACAAAATCAAGGATAGTATGTGGGATTTTTTTACACAGTAAAGCTGGGGGTGGAAGTTTAGTTCTTCGGTAGACTCTTTTCATCGTAAAACATTTTATACATGTATTCAGTGGGTAGAGCATTTCTGTAGCTTAAAACAGCTGTATTTAGTTAGCATCAGGATGCAGCAGCTTTAGATATGGTTGCAGTTCACAGGTAGATGAGCTATGGACAGTTGTGTCCCTAACTGATGCAGTGGTGGTGGGCATCCATAATGGAAATCACATATTTGATCACATCCTATCATAGAATCGCTAAGGTTGGAAGGGACCTTTAAGATCATCAAGTCCAACCATCAGCCTACCCTGACAAAACCACCTCTAACCCATGTCCCTAAGCACCACATCTACCCTTTTTTTAAATGCCTCCAGGGATGGTGAATCCACCACCTCCCTGGGCAGCCTATTCCAATGTTTAATAACCCTTTTAGTGAAAAAATGTTTCATAATAGCCAATCTAAACCTCAGCTGACATAATTTGAATCCATTTCCTCTCGTCCTACCACTTTGCACCAGGGAGAAGAGGTCAGCCCCCACCTCTCTACAGCCTCCTTTCAGGTAGTTGTAGAGGGTGATAAGGTCTCTCTTCATCCTTCTCTTCTCCAGGCAAAACAACCCCAGTTCCCTCAGTCGTTCCTCATAAGGCTTGTCCTTCAGACCCCTCACCAGCTTTGTAGCCCTTCTCTGGACACGCTCCAACACCTCAATGTCCTTGTAGAGAGGCGCCCAAAACTGAACACAGTACTCGAGATGGGGCCTCACCAGTGCCGAGTACAGGGGGATGATCACTTCCCTAGTCCTGCTCACCACACTAAATTTTATAACACACTGATAATTATGTAACACACTAAATATGTAAACACTTATATTTGTGTTTAGATAGAGACAACTGCGTCTGGTATTGAAACTAAGCTATATTGGTCAAACTTTGTAAATATTGAAAGAAGAACAGTTATTCTCTTCAGTGTCTTTAAATGTTGAATCTTAGTTTCCAATTAGAGATGAAATATTAGCAGCTCTGCAATCAAATCTGATGAAACTGCCCCCAAAACTATCTTCCGTAAAAGGGCTCTGATAGCTTCATTTGAGCTAGGAAAAACAAGTTGTAACAAATGTGTTAACAATGCTCTTTTAGCTCTTAAAAATGCTTAATAATGTCAATAAAATTATTAAACTTAAAACAAAAAAAAAGTTCCAAAATGATTTGTTACAACTTATTGTATGTAGGAAGTTAAATACTGCCAATTTTGCCAAGTTGTATAATGTGTGAACACACACACAGAGGTACGTGCACACACAGGCATTTGGCTTATGTACTCTGGATGGATGCTGTCATGAATAACAAGCATGTGTTGTTTCATAGATAAATGTAATGCATTTAGACCTGCTTGCTGTTTCTTGGTGGAAAAGCAAAAAAAAACTCTGAGGGCAGCTAGTTTTTTCACTGGCTTGATTGCAGAAGCCAAGGACTTCGTCCAACTTTATTTTGGAAGGATGCTTTGGCAGATGTCTCATACATTTTGCTTGCCAACATTAAGTTTTGAAATATATAAATGACTGATGATAGTGTATTTCTTACCATGAAGTCAAGTATGTGTTTGAATTCTTCCTGGATCTTTAATCCAGGGCATGCTTTGCAATTCTTGCTGATTATTTTGACTTGTTTTGTATTTTAGGGTCCCGGATGCTGCTCTGATCTAGCAGTTTCATTCCACTACGTTGATTCTGTGACTATGTATCATTTGGAATATTTGATTTATCATCTCCGTCCATATGGGTATTTGTATCGGTACAATCCTGATTCAGCAAAGAATCCAGAAGAGCAGAGCAAAAGTGAAGCACTGGAGGGTAATCAAAAGCTAAAGCAAAAAATTTCTGAGAATTAATTGGACTTTGAAGAAAACTAAAAGAAGCCAGTACAATGAATAAGAGTCTTCTCAAACTCCTGCATGAAGCTTGTGGACTAAAATTACTCATGGAGATTCTTATTTCAAAAATCATGTTGGCAGTCTGTCACTGTCTGTGTACAACAGAGTCCAGTGGTGGCTCTGACTGTTTGGGGTGGTGTGACCTTGCAGCCCTGCTCATGAAGATTTGGGGCCCTAAAGCTGTGAAATAGGGGGTTGTTCTGGTACACTAATGTCTGGAAGAATTTGTATAAAAAACAGAGTGGACGGGTTCAAAGATAATCATACAGTATTTCTGTTCCTTTTTCTGTTCTCCTCTATTTCCTTCCAGATGTTCTGTTGGTCAGTTCTAAGATTAGAAATGGGGTGCTGCACAGTCAAAATACTTCATGATCGCTTTCTCTAGTATTCTCGATATCTTGAAGTACTCTTTGTACCTTGCCCTGTAAGGAAAGGAGAAGCATGAAAATAGTCTCAAGTCTGCTTTGCCTTAACGACAGACTGGTGGTTATGAATAGACAGAGATCCACCCAAAAGATTAGTCTGAATTGTTTCAGAAATGGAATTCACTGCTATGAATTATTTTAAAAAATTTTAAGTCTCTGTTGTACAAAACAATATGAAGTTGGATCATTACCGTTTTGGGGAGAAACCAGAAAGAGTTTCTATTGTTTAAATTGCTGAGGTCATGCAAGCTGCTAGTATATTTGCCTGTGGCTTTTTTTTCTTTTTTTTTTTTTTTGGTATTAACTTACCCTATTGGTTGAAAGGATATAAAAATTCATCTCAGAATTTCTCAGCATAAGGGTAAGGTAGATGCTTTTTGAAATGGAAGTCTCTCTTCCATGACACCTTCCATGTAAACCAGAAAGAATAGTATGTTAGCAAAGTTACAATGGCATTATAATAACCTGGTTTCAGCCAGTATTATCATTAGCTTGTTTCCATTTAATTTTCACATCACTATACTTTGAAATTGTGGAGTTACTTTATTCATTAAAATTTTACAGATACAAACAAATCTTATTTTAAAACTGCAGCAAAGCCAATTTGACTGCTTCCCAACACATCTAGTTTATTTGGCTAAAGTACTTAATTTCACTTGTCTGAACATTTTTTTTTCTCCATAGAATTTCTTCTGTATCTGCTTCTTGTTACCTTTTTCAGAATGAAGTGTTAAATGATCTTTATTTCACTCTTTTTGAAGCTGAAGTATATAGTTATTCAAGTAGGCCAACCTGAATGCAGGAATCTTTCGAAGTGCATTAATTTCTCCACTACTTTGAGTATTTCTGCCTCTTAACTGAAAACACTTTCTCAGTGTGGGACAAAATAGGTGTTTTACTGAAAAATTTTCAGAGGCCAAGCTGCGTGTTTCATATAGTTAATGTAAAACTTTCTGGTTTTCTCTTTCAAATTGAGTGAATAGCGGTGTGGGGGGGATGGAGTTAAGCTTGACTTGTAGTGTGTCTTTATTCCACACTTGAACAAAAGTTTTGTCATCTTTTTATCACTTTTCACCTTCATCATATTGATGATTTTGGACATAACCTAATTACCTCCAGTCATTGTTTTGGAAAGGGCACATACTGGTAGCAGGCAGCCTTATTTACTACTGCTGTCCTTCAGGATGTTCCTGGAAGAGGATGTTACCATAAAGTACTGGAATTTTTTTCCAAAGATAGTTCTTGTATAGATTGGGTTTCTGTCTGTTGTCTAACAGTAAAGAGTCATGACTTACTTCCTGACCATTGCTCTGCAGCATGATGGCAATTTCATGGAGTTGAAATACTACATACATCCTCTCTGCCTAAATATAGGCTGGGTTCATGTATGAAGTATTAGTTAAACAAATAGTTCCTGCAGGGTTAAATCTGTTGGTCTTTTATGAGTAAGACTGCCTCTGAAGTATTGAAAGGGACACAAGCTTTATTTTATGTTAATTGACTTAAGTAGAAAATTATAACTGTATTTGTTTAACAAAGGAAACAGTCTCCAGTTTGCTCTAGTCAGAGGTATGCTTGTCCAGAGGAGAATGGATGGTACCGTGCTGAGAGGTGCTTCCTTCTGTGAGCTAAATGTTTATCCCACATGCAACAAAACCCAATAACATTGAGAAATCCATATGGTATTGATAACTTCAGTGGCATTGTTCAAACATGCAATTAAAATTTTCTGGAATACTTAAGGAAGTTATAAAATGAAATCAAGATCCCAGCCTAATCTCTATGTAAATTCAGCCCATGTAGAAGATCTACTGAACTATTGTATTGTTCCTTTATTACTGCTTTCTTCCTCAGTTCGTCCATGGGGATTTAAAGATTTCTACCAAAAGAAGCAGAACTGATCTTGCATATTTTCTGCGGATTTGTGTCCTGTCTTTGCCCTGTGCTGCCATGTGAAGGAACATGATTTGCTCTTCGTGTTCCTTACTCTCCTGTCTTCGGGTTTTCAGTTTCATCATGCATAAGTCTCAGGTGGGCAATAGGAAGCAGGTAGTGAGATGTTTGAGCTCCGCACAGGTTGGTTGCTGAGGTGGCAAGTCAAACCAGCCGCTGCTGAGCTCATGGTGAAGGCTTTTCTCAGCAGCAGTTCTCATTCTTGTCTGCTTCCCAGCTGTGGCTTGTCGGTTTAGCAGAGTGGGACAGGAATGTCCCTTTCAACAAAACATGCAGCACCTCAGAGGGAATGGAGAAGTAAAGGAACAAGTTCCATTTCTTGAGGGGAATAAGGCTGAGGTGTGATAAATAGGTGGCCTATCTGGAGAAGTAAGAGTAGCCTTTTCTTCAGACATCCATTCGTGCTTTGTTTTAAAGTGTCCTTGTTCTTAGGCCTCTGAATCCATTTCTTTTGCCTTTCTAACAGCACTGCAAAGATTTATTTTTATTTTTTCCTTCCAGATGAACTAGAAAAGTATCTTTTTTTATGTTCTGTGATTGTAACAGAGGACTGTTGTTCTCTGTTGAATTGTATTGCCCTGACAATGATCTGATACCTCTGAAGTAATTGGTTTGTATCTCACTCCCTTCAAGAGCTTCAGTAGACAAGATTGGAATGTGAACAGTTAGTATAATTTTCATGTACAATATTACACTACTTTTAGTAGTTTGTTTTTTCACTCTCAGGTCTTTGTGCTTTGAGAAAGTATTTATTGAGTTTGAGTATTTCCGCAGCCCAAGGAGGCTACTGTATTTCAGGTGGATAGACTTTTCTGAAGCACAGCAACATAGGCTCTCTTAGGCTATACCAATTATTGCTCTGTGGTTTTGGTTTTTGTTTCTAAAAGAGGTTTCTTAATTTTATAAGACCTAAAAGATTCCATTGGCACTGCAGTGATTTAAATGGCCCAGTTACAAATTTTGAACTAGTTTTCTTGAAAGTACTAGGCAGCAGTTGTTTGCACGTGGATGTGGGAATGTCACTCAGTGTAACAGAGTAACATTTGAACCTTGTGTTAAGTGTTTTTTAGTTCAGAAAGAATGAGAATGCCAAGAAGTTACCTTTCACTGTTCCTAATCAGAGGATAGTATTAATCTTTGAAAGGACCAATTTTAATCTTCTTTCATTCCCAATTAATTTTTGCAGTCTGTATTGGTCTTCTTGAACAGGTTAAACGCTGTTGATGTTAGCACCATCTCTCATTTTGTGGAAGCTCTTTTCCCAATACCTTTTGCCTTTAAGGACACTTTCTTTGTTTTGCTTTGGTGGGGTTATATATTAAAAATCACTTTTTCTTCACATGTTGCCATTTGATCTGTTACACTTCCAGAAGTATAAATTTTAGTGAGTAGCTGATAGACCTTTTATAAACAGTTTGGTATCTGAGCAGGGTGTTTTATCTTTGTACGACAGAAAAGTGCGGGTTATTTCTCTCATGTACCTGCTACTGATGTTGATAGTGCACGCACAGGTGAAAATAGATCCCTCAATACAAGACCACTTGGAAAGGCAATTTTGTCCTTTTTCTGTCAAGAGAAACTTCTGTGGAACTCCAAAGGTGTAATTTGCTTTGGTTTACCATATTGTATTTAAAATATTCCACAAATGTTATTAATGGTCTAAAAGAATTGAATATTGCTGCTGGACAGTGTGCTCCACTTAAAACCTGTGAATGTTTCACTTTGCAATTATAGGTAGTCGTGTGTCCCTAATGGCAGATGTAAGTTGGTGACTTGTCTGGAATGATCACCATAAGGATTTTTTTCTTAAATACCTTCTTTAAAGTGCCTTTGACCAATTTTTAGCATCAAAATTAAGTTGAGAACTGAATAAATAAGTTATCTCATACACAGTTCATGTCTGTCTTCATTTACCCCTCCTGTATGCTAGTAGAGTAACATAGCAGCACAATTTAAGGTAATAAAAACATTCTTACTTTTTTCTTGGGTGGGTGCAGGAATATCAAAAAGCTTCTCACGCTTGTTGTGTTTTCTGTTATTATATTTATGCTATTAACAAATAGCAAGCTACACAAAAATGGTATTTTTTAAAGTGTAAAATTAATCATAAGTGCTGGTACTAGATTCACATAAGCAGGCTGCTGTTTCTGCATTGTCCTGATTTTTCAGTGTCTCCACCTTGTTACAGAATCCTGAGTGAACTGGCTATAGCCGATACTTCAAAGACAAAGCAAACTGTTCAAAATTAACTACATTTTTTTTTTAAAAAAGGACTTATTCTTTCAGTGAACCTCTTACTTCTGCAAAAAAAACCCTGTTAAGACTTAAATGTGCTTTCTGACCCAGCATTGCTATTCATGCAGAATAATACTCAGCAGCAAAGAATATTCCACTTACGCAGGTGGGAGGTATCTCTACGTACAAAGTGTTGGTTGTTGGAGACGGTAGACACAAGCAGGGTACACCCGTGTTTTGTTACCTGAAGTGCTGTAATAGACCCTGCTAGGACTATTAACCTGGATTAATTAACTATTTCATTTCAGAGTGCAGGAAGTGTGTGATAACCAATTTGACTGTGCT